CCCTCTCTTTTCCTTCCCTCTCCCCCAGTTCATTTTTTAAAAAAATATTCATTCATTGTTGCATTAGTTATTCTTAAACATTTCATTTATAAACAACGAATTACATGCTGGAAATGTCACTTGCTTAGAAAAGATTGTTCTTCTAATATTCAAAATCCCTAGTTCTAAGAGAGATGCAAATCAAAACAACTATGAGATATCATCTCACCCCAGTAAGAATAATAAAATGTAACAGAACATCAAGCAACAAATTGGCGAGGTTGTGGAGAAACTGGAACCCTGATTTACTGTTGGTGGGAGTGTAAAATGGAGCAACCACTGTGGAAAGCAGTGTGGCGCTTTCTCAAAAAGCTGCAAATACAGATACCATTTAACTCAGCAATTCCACTACTGGGAATATACCCCAAAGAGACCATAACTGACTAACAAGCAGATATATGCACACCCATGTTTATCATGGCTTTGTTCACAATAGCAAGAAGATGGAAACAACCTAAGTGCCCATCAACAAATGAAGGATAAGAGGAGCTGTGGTATATTCACACAATGGAATACTACGCTGCATTGAAAAACAAGGAACTCATGTAATATTATTCAAAATGGGTGACCCGCGAGGACATTATGCTGAGTGAAATAACTCAGCCACAAAGGGACAAACACTGCATAGTGCCACTGCTGGAGAATGGGACTGACATCAGGGTTGGGGTAAGAATGAAACGGATGAGGGAAAGAATAGTTTAAAAGCAATATATTATAGGGCATTATGATTATCGTAAGAGTCCAGAATGAAAGTTGCAGAATGGAGTATACTCGGGGTGGGGGGTGCAGAGGGACTGCATTATCAATGAAGGAATTTTTCTTTTACTTTTCAAAGAGAAGAGCGAAGGTGGGGTGGGGCACGGGGAGAAAAGTGTGACAATGAATGGATGGAAATCCAAAATCTCTGTAAATGCTCACTGAAATAATAATGTAAAAAAACCTGTTCTTCCTACCACAAGAAATGTTTTCTTTTTCACTTAGTAGAGTTACTCTCAAAAGGCATCCACAATATCCATGCAAAAGTGAGGGGCAAATAAAAAACTATTTTTGTTGAAAATAAAAGGCATCCACATTCAGATTTCTTTCATAAGCATCAAATCTGTATTTATCTTATTACCCTATTTTTACCCAAATGCACACGTTTCCATACCACAATACCCTCCCTGTTAACTTCACAAACATGTTATAGTACTAAATTTTTAATATGCTAATGATCTCGATTAAATTTTTTTCCTGTCCAACAGATTTAATGTTAAGTCTTGATCTTGGTGCCTAATGATGCTGTGAAGATTTGGATCCCAGCAGATCTTCAGCAACCTACCTCTTGCTTTTGCCTCTGCTGGCAGCATTCCTTCCATGCTCTACAAACAGTTTTTTCAAACCTTTTTTCTACCTATGGAAACAACTCTTGCCAGCATAGTTAGAGAGGCCACCAAAAATGTGACGCTGGCATTAGATAGCCACAAGCATTCTGCCAATCAGCCTGACCAGCCATCATGCTTGGGCCATTTGAATTTTCCACTTGCATGGACAAAACAGGGTAGGAATTAGAGCTATAGGTATAGTGGGTTACATGTTTCTCATTCAGTTGATGAGTCCTTCTGGCCTCCCAGGAACACTGTGGCACCCTGGCCATTCAACTTCAGAGGGGGTTCAACATGGGTCCTGAGCACATGAATGCACCCTCCTTTCAGCCTACCTCTGGTGCAATGTACCTGGCAACAAAGTGTTCCCAAAGCAAACAGAGTTTAAAATGGTAATTTACTGCTTACCAGCATACAATCAAATCTGACCCATTAGTTCTTGTCTTATACCTAAAAGTAACAATTTTGCACTATTAAATGAGAGTAAGTAAGGTGAAAATTCACTTCTAGAAATGTTATATGTGCTATGGGTACACTACATATTTATAAAAAAAACCCAAATATGCTTTATTTATAATGTGTGCTTTGGTGAAAACAGGCCAAGGCTAAACTGGGCATTAGCCCAGAATAGAGAGGAGTAGGGTATTTCTCCACTGTTGGCTGGTTTAGGTTGAGGGTAGTCACAACAGTTTCAAGGACCTGTGGTCATTTTCCATTATTTCAGCACTCCCTGATTTATCTCCTTAGTGGATCAATAAAAATTGTATTTAAGGGTAAATATTAATCAGATTTTTTTAATGTAATTTCATCATTTCCACAGAGGCACGTGCATGGACAGACATGGGCACACTGAACCCACTAATATGTCAGCTTACCTTAACTCGTGTATTTGCAACAGACACTTTTGATTTTGGTCCGACATCATTGAGAAAGCTGGCCCAGAGTTCGTCCTCCTTCTTTTTTCTTGCATCTTCTGACTCACTGCCCTTTTCCTGCTCTGCAGACCCATCTTCCTCCTCACTGCTGGTCCCTCCAGATTCCGCTCCGGCAGCCACATCTTCTTCTCCTTCTAATGAGAGGCCACCCCGTTTTCTCTTTCTGGTCAACAAAAACACAACAGAAGACAGACAACACAGAGCAGGTAAAAACATTTCAGTTATTCCTTCCTCAAATATCTTCCCGCAAACATATTGTTGTTGCTAAGAAAACTTAAATATGAGTGTAACACACAAGACTGGGGGGCAGGGGAAGATGAGATTTTCTTGGGAAGGAAAAAAAGCTGAGCCCTGTTAGTATTTTCTTCAAACAGTTAAAATAAAAATACTGTGATCTACATTAGGACCTTGGAAGCAGGAGAGGCATTCACTTCTGTAAACAACTTGCCTCCAGAAACCCTATGAACCTGGAAAAAGGATGAAAGTCATACACACAAGTGTCAAGGACTTTCGTTCATAGGGTCGCTATGAGTCTCCTACGACTCACAGTACTTAACAACACAGAGAGAGATCAGTTGGTCTAGAATACCAAAAGCGCTGCTACCAAGCCAAAGGAGAGTGACTCTAATCCGAGGCCCTAAGGCCTATTTTTCATTGTTTTTGTGTCCACTTGCCTTACAGAGGTAACCTGTCGTCGCTGTGAAGCTGAACACTTTGAAACTGATGTGTCAAATGTGGTAACAGTTACCCATGGTGGACAGTGTTTTGTGGCGCTCCCTGGCTAAAACAAGCTTAGAAGCAGGAGCGTCATCCACTTCCATAAACAGCTTGCCTCCAGAAACCCTATGAACCTGGACAAAGGATGAAAGTCACGCACTCAAGTGTCAAGGACTTTCATTCACAGGGTCGCTATGAGTTGCCTATGACTCGATGGCACTTAACAACAAACAACAACACATCAGGACCAGCTATTTTCACCAAGACGACACCCAAAATCACATCACAGAATAAAATTACCCATTATTATTAGAACATACACACATAAGACATGTTTTACTTTTAAAGTCATTCCATTTGAACATGTTCTGAAAGAACTTCAAATTTATTTTCAGCTTCTTCTTAGAGTTTTCAGAAAGTGGAAAAAAACACAAACCAATGTTTCTACCATTTTCTGATATAGGAAGGTTGTAATACAGAAAAAGGCAAGGACAAAAGAACTGAGTTCAGGACTTCTAAGAGTTAACCATTTCTCAAGACCATTTAAACAGCAGGTAAGTTATATCTAAAATTCTTTTCACTTTAAAAATTATAATCTGCTTTCTTCAGTTCCCAGGAAGACAACCACCAAAAGAAGAGTGAAAAGACTTCTTGGGATGTCTTAACTGAGTTAACCTTTCAGATTTTTTCAAATAGCTTTGTTAGGAATGTAAATAATCAATTACCACACCCATAGAAGGCAACTGCTATTATCTACGAAACCTGTATACAACATCCAATCACATAATTCTACTATAAATCTCTTTTGTAGACATGCAAAAACATACACAAAGAATATTAAGTTTACTCCCATAAAATAATCCTCCATAAGTGGCTGCTATAAGCATAAAGCATTGTTATATGTGTTGCTGAGAGAACTCACAGCGACCCTATATACAACACTGAAGCTTGCCCTAATCTGAGCCAGTCTTACTGACACACCTACCCTCATTACTGCAGCTACTGTATCAATCCATTTCCTCTGAGGTTGTCTTCTCCTGCACTGTCCCTCTACCCATCCCAGCATGTCCTTCTCCAAAGACTGGTCTCTCCTGGTCACGTGCCCGAAGTATGTGAGATAGAGCTTCAAAATTCTAGTCTCCAAGGAGAAACTTGGCTTCCAAGACAGAAAGTTGAAGTTTTGTCCAATTACAAAAAATTAGAGTATATCTAAAAGTACTGTCAATGTATCCTCTCCAAGATGTGAAATAAACTGAAAAAGGATATGCAGAGTGTACTATTGTTATGTGCTCTCCAGCTGCCCGAGACTCATAGCCACCCTATGTACAATGGCCTTAAACCCTGCTCCATCCCTTGCCAATCTTAATGTCTCCAACACACCTATCCCCATTACCCCAGTGACAGAATCAATCCACCTCATCGAGGGCCTTGCTCTCCTGTGTTGTCCCTCCACCTTACCAAGCATGACTTCCCTCTCCATGGACTGATCCTGCATTGCAACATGTCCAAAGTATGTCAGACAGAGCTTCAGAATACTTGCCTCCATGGAGCACCCTCTCCAGGACAAACTTATTTGTTCTCCTAGCAGTGCATGGTATGTATATTCAATACTCTTCTCCAGCACCAAGCTCAAAGGCATCAACTCTCTTTCTATCATCCCTAGGCACTTTACAACTCTCTGATGCATACCAAGAAACTGCAAAGACCATGGCCTGGATCAGGTGCATCTTAGTCTCCAGACTGACACTGTTGCTCCTCAGTACCTTGGAGAGGTCTCTGACAGCAGATTTTCCCAATGCAATTTGTCTTTTAATTTTCTGGCTGCTCGTACCAAGAATGCTGATTATAGAGTCAAACAAACGGAAGCTGTCAACAATCTCAATCTCTTCACCACTATTAGGATGGTGCTAGTAGGCCCAGTGGTGAGAATCTTTTGTTTTCTTGATGTTGAGCTTCAATTCATATTGAAGGCTGCAGTCCTTGACCCTCTGCAGCAAGTGCTTCAGGTCCTCCTCAGTTTCAGCAAGCAGGGTTATGCCATCTGCATAATGCAGACTGTTGATGAATCGACCTCAAATCCTAATGACACGCTTCTACTCCCAGAGCCCAGCCTCCCGGACACAACAGAAAAAAGTTAATGTAACCTATGGATATTAATTAAGAATTGTGTCTCAATTATGATATATCACAATAAAGCAAGATTTTAATAGTCTTAACTACTGTTTAGGAAGCAGTGAGTTTCTGTATATGGTGATAAAAAATTTGGTAACATTGATAATGACTACACAGCATGTTAATGTTTTCTAGCATGTGAGATATATATATATGTGTGTATTTAATAATAAAAAAATAGAAATGATGTATAGAGAAAGGGGGTATGAGAACTCTATGTTTTAAAATTTCTGCAAATCTAAAAGTGGTCTAAAACAAGAAAGGATAGGTTCTTTTTTTAAAAGAGGTTAGGACACATAAATGTGCTTGTTACATGTACGGAATAGCTCTAGTAATATTGTTCTTTTGAGGAAAAGCACCAAAGGTTAGTGATAAGGTACATACTTTTGTGCTCAATAAACTTTTTGGGTTTTTACTATGGGCATATACCGTTGCCTGGATACACAATTAATACCCTTGTTATGAGCAGTCAGGAAATAAGGTGACGCATTGTACTAGGAAAATCTGTGTTGAGGACCTTTCCAAATTACTGAGGAATAGGGATGTCAGTTTAAGGTAAGGTGTCTGTTTCAAGCCATAGTCTTTCTGATTCTTAGCTATGCATCTGAGAGCTGGACAATGAATAAGGATGACAGGAAAAAGAACTGACATCTTTGAGCTATGGTGTTGAAGAAGAGCACTGAACATCCCATTGACAACCAAGAGAATGAACAGATATATCTTGCGAGAAGACGCGGAGTGCTCTGTGGAGGCAAGAATGATGAGGCTTCACCTCACGTACTTTGGGCATGTTGCTAGGAGGTGCCATTCCATTGAGAGGGACATGATTTTACGAAGGGTAGAGGGTCGGTGAAGGAGAGGAAGACCCTCAACCAGGTGGACTGGCATGCTGACTGCTGCAGTGGCTCTTGTGCGTCATGAAATGTGAGTACGGTGCAAGACAGGACTGGGTTCAGGTCTGTTGTTTACAGGGTCACTATGAGTCGTACTTGGCTCCATGGCACCTAACAATAACATATACTGTCTCTTAAAAGATTTGTTTTTAAAACTAAAAAATTAATTTAAAGTTTGCCAGAGGCCAGAATTGAATGCTAAAATAATAAAGGCTTCTCTTACGGAGAAAAAGACAAGGGGCTCTATCAGCATGAAATCTCTTAACAGATCAATGCTAGCAACAGGAGAGCTTCGAGGACAGCATCACCTGGCTGGAATGCTCTGAGCCTTTCTTTTTTTCCCTTGAGTTTTCTGTGTCTGCTCTTCACCATCCACTTCATCTTCCTTCACTAATTCATTTACATCATCTTCACTATACTCTCCACCTGAAATAACATAATAAGGAGGTCAGACAGAAATGAAGGTTTTCACATCAAGATGAGCTATTTTCATTAAGAATACGGCAGTTGACCACTGGAGAGCACTTTCCTCTGGTCATATTCTTGAGGAAGTTATCTCTGTCCCTGAAGATGAACCGAAGTCCCTCATTTTAGGCTTCTATAGTAGCCCTGTCCATTACTTTTATCCCACTTCTAATTATTTAAGGATTGCAATTATGGTTGTTTTCTACACTCTATGAAGACAAATTCTGTCTTGATTCTTATAAGAATTTATGGATTCATAATTGATATTTTAATTCGTTATTGCATTTTTCAAAGAAAAAAACTAATACAACTCACCTTAAGGATTTTTCAAAGCATATTTAAAGTGCCAATAGAAAATATTTTTACAGGAAGAGGACTTAAAACTTTGGAAGTACAGCTAAAGCGAACACACACACATTTTCCATCTTCAGATAGTTCCACCAAAGCACTGCCTGATGCGTGAGTACACTGTGGGCACCAATCAATAAAACCTACCCAGAGATTCAACTAGCTTTTAAAAATTTCATAGTCAAAACAACTATGAGCTATCATCTCACCCCAGTAAGAATAGCAAAATTTAACAGAGCAGCAAACAAATGTTGGTGAGGTTGCGGAGAAACTGGACCCCTTATTTACTGTTGGTGGGAGTGTAAAATGGTGCAACCACTGTGGAAGGCAGTATGGCACTTTCTCAAAAAGTTGGAAATAGAAATACCATTTGACCCAGCAATTCCACTACTGGGCATATACCTTAAAAAAACTAGAACTGCAACCCAAGCAGATATATCCTCACCCATGTTTATTGCGGCTTTGTTTACAATAGCAAAGAGTTGGAAACAACCCAAGTGACCATCAAGAACGAACGGATGGAGAAGCTATGGTATATTTACATAATGGAATACTATGCTGCACTAAAAACAAGGAACTCATGAAATATACAAAATGGGTGATCCTGGAGGACATCATGCTGAGTGAAATATCTCAGTCACAAAAGCACAAATTCGGCATAGTGTCACTGGGGTTTTGGGGTTTTTTTTCATTGTGCCACTGTTGTAAAGAAGGACTGACAATGGAATTGGGGGGACACTAAGAGGGGATAAACTACATATACTGCATTGAAACAGATGAGAAAGAGCACTGTTTAGGAGGAATACAGAAGGGTCATATGAGCCATGATCCTTAGGGAAGCTGATTACTGGAAGACCAGATAATACACACTTACCACTAAGCTTTCTAGGAGAGGATGGTTCAAATTTTATGACGTCAATCTCTGTAATTCACAAAATTAAATGACTAAAAAAATACCATATGTGATGTTATCAACAGATGGAGTAAAAAGCACTTGATGAAATTCACCTCAGTAAAAGCAGAACAGAAGGAAATACCTAATAAAAGCTATCAGTGAAGAACATAACTGACTTCATGAATAGCAAAATACTGATGTTTCCTCCTTAATACCAGCAATAAGACAATGCTGTCCAGTCACACCACTCCTATTCACCTTCATATTGGACACTGCATAAATTCATTAAGGAAAACTAAGTAGCTACACACTTAAAAGACTGTGTGGAAAAATGCATAGATGGATAATAATCCTCTAGAAATGATAAATGGGTCAAGCAAAGTTGTACTATACAAAGTTAATATGCAAAGATTCATTGTCATTCCACATACTAGCAATGAATAGGGAGTTCTGGTAGCTTAAAGGTAAAAAGCTGCACTGACAATGCAAAGGCACAGGATTTGAATCCACCAGCCGCTGAGTGAGAAATATGGGCAACCTCCATCCCTGAGATTAATTGCTGTTATCTCTTTGAAGCTGTTTCCCCCAATCATATGTACATTGTAACTTAATCTGCCTGTATCTGGGTGCAGATACAGCAATTTTTTGATTTTACTAACAAAAGTTTATTGTTAAGTGGGTTGGTGTTTCACCCTAGTATAAAACCCAGTGATCACTCCCAAAGGAAGAGGCAGTCCAGGAGCTGCCTCCCAGATCTGTATAATAAAGTGCTTCAGGATATTGCAAAAAAAAAGAGAGATTGAAAATATTGTCAAACTGTCAAATGATCCGATATTATTATTAGGTGTGAGGAGTTGACCCATGGTGACCCTAGGAAGCACAGATATGTACCTCCCCTGTCCTGTACCACCCTAAGCATCTCCCACCTGTCAGTCACTGGATCAATCATCTAGTTGAGGATCTTCCTCTCTTTTCGCAGACCCTCCACCTGTCCCAGCAAGATGTCTTTTTCAAAGGACTGGCCCCCCTCTTGACAACATACCCAAAGCATGTTTCACCATCCTTGCCTCTTGAGAGAAAGAAGCCAATGAAATCCCAAATAAAAGAGGCCCCAAGAAAGACGGGGAGATCGACACGCTGATTCTAAAATGTATATGGAGAGGTGTCTTAGGCTCTCCAGAGAAGCAAAACCAGAGGCTCAGAGAGGAAAAGTGGTTAGAAAGTAATCCTCCCGCTCAAAAAACCCACAATTTTACTGCAAACACACAATAAAGCAGTATGTAAGATTTTTTCCCCTCTCTACTTCAAAGCTTAAGTTTAAAAAAAATGATTTTATACCATCCTTAAATAAAAACCAATATTGTTTAAAAACAAACCCAGATTTTACTGATGGGTTCTTCTTAAAGAGGGATTAAGGATTACTAATTTTTTAGATTTGTGTGTATTTTATTTTATTATTTTTGTGTGCGTGTACCGTCAAATCAGATCTGACTGGTACAGGAGGAGATTGCCCCTCCTTCCCCGGCAGAGCATCTGGTGGATTCGAACCGTGCACCTCTGGGATTGTAGTTGCAGCTTCTTGCCACTAGGCCACCAGAGCTCGTGTGTGTGTGTGTGTGTGTGTGTGTGTGTGTGTGTGTGTGTTTTAATTTTTTGTTTGTGTGTGTTTGAACCAGAGCTCTCGTGTGTGTGTGTTTAAATTTTTTAATTGTTTGTGTTGTGTGTGAACCATCAAATCGGATCTGACGGGTACAAGAGAAGATTCGAACTGAAATTTTTAAATTTCTTTTTTTAACGGAGCTCTGACTATCTAGATGAGACCAGGTAAGAGTGGGGAAGGGGAGGGGTGGGCTAAGGCTTGGGGGCAGGATTTACTGTACCACCTTCGATCTGAGATGTCCAAAAGAGGTCCCGGGCATAAAACAAAATTGGTGTCAACTGCAAAAAAGCAAAACTCGACTCATCACGTGAACTTCCGACCAATCAGATCGCTCCGGCCGCGAGGCGCGTGGGGCCGTCCACGAGCAAGGCCAGCGGTCAGGCCAGGCCGAGGTCCTCGTTAGCCAAGCCCTCGGCCTGGGCGCACTCGGGGCCACAGTGACAGCTGGGCTGTCGCCGCAGCACCCGGGGCCGCGACGCTGCTCCCCGCAGCCGGGCCGCGCTCACGTGCCGGTTCCCGCGCTCCGCTCGAAGCCAGCGCCCCGGCAGCGGCCGCGAGAAGCAGGCACGCGGGGCCCGGGGTACCGGACGCGGGACAGGAGGGCTCGGGCAGTTGAGGCCCGATTTCTCCGAGGCCTCTCACCACCCCGCCCCCCGAAATGAGTGCACTTGGCACGTCTCGCGTGAGGGGCGGGACCAAGGGCTGCGCCCCCTCAGAAGAGAGGGCTTACCCGACGGCACGTAGTCCTCGTCTTCCTCGGAGGTCGAAAAGTCTTCGGAGTCAAATTCCTCCATGTCCGTGCAAGGCAAAAAACACCTTCGCGGCTGTTCGAAGCAGCAAAGACCCACGAGATCTAACACAGAAGCGAGGAGGCCACGGCTACCCGGGCGGGCTCCGCTGCTTTTGAGCAAGCGCACAATGCCACATGGGAGCAATTACGACACTTCCGGGACGCACTTGCAGGCGGAGCCAGGAGGCCGCGCGGGAGCGATGCATGCTGGGACTTGTAGTCCGTCGCGCGACCGCACCAACCTGCTTACTGCCATCGAGTGAACTACAACTCAGTGACCGGGCCCTGTCCTAAGCCAACCTCCGACACTTCTGCCTCTATTGCCGTGTTGTTGATTGCTCTCAAGTCGAGCATGACTCATAGCGACCCTATGAACAAAAAAAGGTCTGAAGGCCCTCTACAACTATTGACATTTATCAAAGTTCACAATCAGTGTCAATCCATCTCAACCGAGGTCTTCCTATCTTGCCCTGTCCCTCACCCTTCCAAGCACGACGTCCTTCTCCAAGGACTCGTCCCTCCAGACAACATGCTGAAAGTACGCAGCTTCAGAATCCTTGCCTTCACAGGGCAACTTGGTTCACCTTCTGCGGGGCACACCTTTTGTTCTCTTGGCAGATGGACTGGAGGCATCTTCAATACTTTGTCCAGCACCACTCAAAAGCATCAATTTAAATGTGCTCAAATATAACTGGCCATCTCCTCCCATGAAGTTTAGTACCTCTGAAAAACCCACTGGAGGGTCCGACTGGATGATAAACAACAGTTTGTGGATATACTTTTATAAGTCAGACAAAAGTCACAGGAACTTTGCCTTAAAATTAACACACATGAAATATAACTGCATGTTTATTTTCGCCCCAATTAACAATGTGGAGGAGGTATTGGTTTAGGGGACTGAGCTCCCAATAACGGTAATGAAACGATTTGGAAAAAAAGCGAGAATGGGAGTACTACTAGAATAATGAAAGGGCAGTTTAATCATATCTTTGAACAGGAATTTTACCATAAATAGTAAAATGCTGAACATTAAAAGTTAAATATATGTTAAATACTATTTTTTTTAAAAAAAGCCAAGAAACAATTTATTACAAAAGATTAAACTTCTTGCCACTGAAAAATACAATTTCACCTCACGGGATTGAAAGTAACTCTTTATTGATAAACATTTGTACCAGAATTAGAAATATCAGTAGAAAAATAAAATTTAAATCATTTTCCATTGTACAAAGATTTGATCATTTAGACTACAGCAGTCAGTAGAATAACCTAATACAAAAAAAGTGAAGCTGATTTTAGTCACAACCAGCCCTACCGAGTGCACAAACTAGAAGTGCGTGTATACAAAACTTCCTGCACATGGATAAGCAACTGCACCATGGCTTCACATTCCAGGTCACTTCCTTGGGGAAGGCTGGTATGCACTGCAGTTCAATAAGAAGAACTTAATTCAAACCAGAGCAGCCAGAAAGGACTCTGGAATCAGAAGCCGACCTACAATTTGAAAACTTAAGCTCAAAATCATAAGGAAGGTTTGAAAGAAAATCATATGTACAAATTATTTCTTATACTTTAAACATTTTGTGAAAAATATTTTTTGCAAAAAAAATTATCTGTATTAACAGCACACAGTGGAAGGCAGGTTGGAGAAAGACCTCTTTCTCTTGCACTAATCACAAGTTAACCTTTTGGATACAGACTTCAGTTTTCATGAAACGCTTTCACCTCCTAACTAAAACTGGAAGTACAGCTCGGGGGAGGGGTGGGTTAGGTATGTCTCTAGCAAAGACTTTGGCAAAAATCTTCCCAAAGCTACATACATGAAAGGTAAAATGTTCAACACAAATGCCAGTACTTTTTCCATCTGAACAACCACCTAGAAATAATGTATTTAAGATAAGAAATTGAAACAAATAAATAAAAACAAGGGTGAACAGATACTTTTCCATTCAGAGAGCTTCTTCCTGAAAACCTGTGTAAAGCTACCGTAGCTCAGCCTTTATCAGTTCTATATACAGTTATTCACAGGAAATGCTTCACATACTGGGATGGATACAACATTCAATAATTTGAAGATATAATTTACATTTGAAGTTTTTTTACAATAATGAATAACCAAAATTTAGGAAACAGACAGAAACAAAGGTACCTTTCAAAAGGTCTTAATTTTTAAATAGCCAAACATTTTAATCATGGATCAACATATTAAAGAATTAGGTAAAGGGGCACCAAATGGCAACACACGTCTTTAGAGGGTTTATGAATTATATAGCCTAAATAATATTTTAGGCAAGAATTGTAATAGAAGACATCTTTCCAAAGAGATGAGCAAAATCATCCAGAACAGAGGATGCAACTTGCCCAATTTCTTAAACTGAAGAGATAATTTTCAGAACAGTAGCTACTTGAGCTGAAACAAAGATTCCTGAACTAGAAATCTGCTTGGAAGAAGATTTGAGGATTGTAGCGTAATCCTGCTGAGGACTTGTGAGGACAATTGTCCATGATCTTACTTATTTCTGCCTACCCAAAGCATCCATCAGTGTAATGCTGAGACATGGACTAATGGAAAATACCCAGTTACTATTTGTGATCTGTAACTTTCTCCACGATTTTCTCCAGTAGATGGTCCTTCTCGCTAATATTAATCAGAAGCCAGGGTGCAGACTCTCTTCTATATGGAACAAGTTCAAGGGCAAGCTTCCTCAGGGGTCAGCTGGCCTTAACATTCATAATGAAAACTTCCTTTTAAAAATGTCAGACTTACCAAAGACAATTCTGAAAACAGGTATTAAGAACATACAAAGCTCTTTAGGTAGTAAGGATCAGGTCAAATACTTCATCTTCACAATTTGTTCCCTTGTGAAAGTCAGAGTTTTCAGGCATTTTAATGAAAAAGAAAGGGAAAAATAATTAACTTTAAAAAAAATTAAGACCGAGCTTAAAAACTCCTGATTTTTATTTCTTTTAAAGGAGCTACATCCTCCTGGAGGAAAATGGGGTTAGAAGTTTACAGTATCTAAAGAGGAAGCTGCATGCAGCCTCTGAGAGTTTACATCCAATACTGTAAAAGTGGGCTGGAGATGCTCCACTAGGTAATTATCACAGTTAGACCAAGAAATCAATCAGAAACCACTGACTACAGTTTAAACTACTATAATGTCTTAAGCGTTATTTGTAAACCAAAGTCACTAGGAAAAACTCTTAAAAGAAATAGCTGAAATAACTTCTTATTGGGCTCCATGCTCAAAGTCCATCCTAACCAAGATCTGGCCTAAGATTTTCAACTCAAACCAAATAAATAAGACATAATTTCAATTAAATTAAAAAAAATTTAAGAGAACAAAAACAAGAGGAGAAGTGGTAATGGGGATACTTGGCAGAGAAGAGGGGCGTTCCAATCAGCAAGCTTATTTTTGAGAATACACAAAACAATAAATTCACATCTTTTAAAATATGTTAAATAATCAGAGGTCAAGACGGTTATCTGTAAAATGTCACATCATTCAATAGTTATAACTTTTCCTTTACACAGGAGAACCAAAGCCACTACTTTTGTCACATTCAGGTAATTTTTTTCCCCGTTACAGTGACCACATTTGTTCTCAAAGCTACAGTCATCCAGACCTTCTTGGCACTTACTGTCATAAAAACGTAGCACAATAATTCACTACATTTGAACCAAAATCAACTAAGACTTTCATACAGTACTGACTTGCTTAGAAAGAAACCAATCTTCCCATAGTTTGTCTGAATCTGCAACCTTGCATGTTCCCTCAGAATCTTCTAAACAGCAACGCAGAAGCTCTGTTGTGGTCTGGCGTCGGTAAAGGTGTAAAGCTGCTTATATGAAATATCTGCAAAGAAGAAAGCCAAGACATTCCTTTTCTTTTGGTTGAAAAGAATAGGAATCCAAAAATATCCTCCATTCTGGAGCTTAGGATTGAAGACACAGCTGAGATGTCATCTTTCATTTCTCTGGTCATTTGAGTTGCTTCCATTTGAAGAAACAGGAAAATATCACAATTCCAGGCTTGTTAATTACACTTTCTTGGCATCCCAGCATAAGGGCGGATGCTATAGAGTAGCTAAAATCCGTAAAAAGGAAACCACCACAACGCAAAACGTCTGTCCAGTGCCCAAGGTGAGGGCTTCAAACGGGATCATTTCCTTTCCTGCTGCTCGGTAAACTCCAGCAATGGCTGCACCTGTGTTAACATTTAAAAAGGTTTAAAAAGAAAATAAGGTTAATATAACCAATACAACAGTCTGAATTTTTAAAGTTTAAATATTATAGTAAAGTACTGCTTTCTCTCCTCCTCCTAACTGCCTGAAATTCCTCCTTTTTGCAAATACATGCTTTCAGATGCTTAAAAGCAAGTTTTTTAAATTGAGTCTTCTAAAATCCTCTGGAAGTAATAAACAATATCAAGAAGATAACAATTCCCACATGACCTGATTATGAGCTCAAAAAGAACTCTTTATTCCCCAGGCCAATTAGGCTCGTGCCCAGTACTTAAAAGAGACCTAAACAATTTTTGACAGTAAATGACAAAGCTGCTTCTGTGTAATTAAATCATTATCAAATTTAAACATGAACTGAAAACATTTTTGGGCAAGAAAGGTTTCAGAAGAGGACCTAAGAATTTCTCCTCCATTCAAAATTCCCATCAAACAATGGATGAGGAGGAACCAGGAAGCTGAAGAAAGGTGGGCTATAAGGCCTCTGTATGTCTAAGTAACTAAAAACTCAGGGTACCAATTCATAGCTAACCCTCCAGCAGATTTTTCAGGGGCTGTAAACCCCGTGGAAGAAGACTACCCATTTTTCACCCTTAGTACAGCTGGTAGATTCAAACCACATGCCTTTGGCTTGGCAGTACAACCCCTCACCCACTAGGCCACCACAAGCTCCTGATATCTATAAACAGCCGTTCTAGTTAAAAAGGAATGAGGTAAGAAATACTCCAGAATTCCTTTCTGTATCCATGTCATTAACTGTTTTTATGATGTCAGTCAGTATCACTTCCTAGAAAATTTGTTTTCCTACAAAAACAAATATAACTAGAGAGCTCTAGTGTGCGAGTGGCAAAAAGCTGCGCTGCAATCCTAAAGGCACGCGGTTTGAATCCACCAGATGCTCTGCTGAAGATGGGCAGTCTCCTCTGGAGCCAGTCAGATCTGACTCCAAAGCACACAACAAGAAGAAGGGGGGGGTGGATCTCTGTTGTTTCCCAGATACACTTTGGAGTTGCTAGAGGGACTCAGAGTGGCACTAAAAGGACACAGAAAATCTTAGCCTAAAAAAAAAAAGCAAAGTTCTTAGATGATCCTCATCCCCTACCCTAGAAACTCAAACCTTAATTCTCCTTTCTCACAAGAGCATCCTCATTCAAGTGGTAGCATCTACAGAACACCACCATGTATTATAAGATAAGATAGTGATTCTTACAGAACTCAGAATGTAGCTGATGGAGGACACAAGATACAAGACAGAAGGCATGACAGGTTTTTTAAGGCAATGCACGGTGTCTTAAAGTCTACACATGCCATTGTGATATGAAGGCATATTAACATATTTGGTTGCTATAAGCATTTGTGATTTTAAAATTCTCACTAATAGGGCCTATGTGTACAATGTCTTATGAACACTTGAAAGGCAAATCCATTTCATGGGCTCCCTCTGTAATTTAGCTCCAAAAATAGTGATCTGGACAGAAAGAGGAGTAAGAAACATGAATTGGGTCCTCGAGTAGGACTGGGATGCTGAAAAAGGAAGCCTGAAGCACACCACAGGGAGCAGTAAAATGGGAAAGAAACACACTCAATTCAACAGAGCCTTCAAGCTGGAAATGAAACACCATTTATTGCACAATCGCTATGCATTAAGTGTTATGCCAAGGACTTTGCATATACATTATCTCATTTAATCATCACATAAGTGTATGAGGAGGGAACTAATTATCCTTATTTTAAATGAGAAATCTAAAGGCAGTTCCTGGGAGCCAGTAATCGCGGAAGGAGAATGGAGCAGAGGGATTCTAAAGAGCAGCAAGGGGTTAGGGGTTGGCGGAGACTAAGAGAAGAGGGAATAAATAATGAACACTGCATTTAAACAAATGAGGAAAAGAAGTGTCTAAAAGAAATATATGCTATGGTATTATTTTCAGGACAACAGTCCAGAATAAGAGGTGCATAGCAAAGTGGACTGGGGGAATTGGGGAGAGGGAGGAAATTGTGCAACAATGTAAGAATCTTTTTAAAGAGAAAAGCAAACTAGGGGAGGTAGGGAAGAAAATCTGCAACAATGAAAGAATGGAAATCAAGTTTTCTGTAAACTTTCCTTAAGATACTAATAAAAAAATAAAATAAAGAGCAGCAATAGGTAATATAAATAAAATGACAGTGTTAAAAAAAAGGATTTTTATGGAAACATCATAATGTAAACAGGAGAAAGGGGTCCCCTCCCCTGGGTTATACAAAGGTTCCACCATCTAGAGGGCACAGGGAAACTAGGGCTTCTTGTCTCCAAGACATTCAAGTCAAAGAAGCTGACGGCTACACTCTGCTCAAAGTTCAAGGTTCAAATTCACAAGTGGGAAAAAGAAAAACCAAAGGCCAATTAGTACGAACATCATGTTTCTCTTTTGAAAAATTTGTTTATATATGTACTTAGAAAGCATTATCTACACCAAAACACAAAGGGAGGTTTATAAACTTAGGGAGGGGTAATAAAAAATTTCATTATTTACATCTTTTCATTTATATGAGTATGTCACCTATACTTAATTATTATCTTAAAATGTTGTTGTTATTGTTGATTGCCTTCAAGTCAAGGACAACTCATAGTGACCCTATGAACAAAAGGCCTGAAGCCTTCTATAACTATTGTCATTTATCAAAGTTCATTGAGTTTCCAAAGACAACCACATAGGAAGTGGATGCCACTCTCCTTCCAAATGTGTCTTAAACTGGGGTTCCACCAAACACTGTTCACCATGAGTAACCGTTATGGCATCAGACACCCCAATGGCACAAGGTTCAGCATCACAATATATTGACAGAACTTAAACATAACAAACAAATGAAAAAAAATCTAAAGTCTTATCCCTGGAGCTATGCTCTGTGATATGAGGGAGGAAAAAACCACCCAAATAAAGCCATCAAATCTAAATCCAGAACACCCCGGGTTTAAAAATATTTACATCAAGAGGAATCTGTTATTCTTCAGGAAGTCTTGAAGAGAAAAGTAATAATAACTAGAACCCAGAACAGGTACTTTTCTAAGTAAGAACTCTTGTCATTAGAATTATTGTTCCATCCCTGAAGTCTCAATAGCTTAGCTTGACTTCCCTTAAACAATGAGGAAATCGGACTCAGAAGTTAACCAAGGGTATTGGAGGTAATTAAAAAAAAGAAAATTAAAAAAGGCAACACATTCAACCTGTTCTAAAATCCACTCTTTTCCCTTCATCCCCCTCAGGTATGTCAGTAAACAGGCCCTGCAATGAGCTGACTGGTCACAGTGAACTGGTATTTGAATGTCTAACATACTTGTCAAGATTCCAGCAGTAATTGGTCCCACGATGCCCATCAACAGGATGCTTACAGACATGAACCTACCATATTTGTGATGTCTGAGGGTGAAGAGGGCCAGCAGTCCGGCGGGGACATGAAAGAAGAGAGAAGAGACCAGTGCCCACAGGAACACACCATACCACATCTCTGCAAGATAAGCAAAGGGCAGGCATTAGGTGGGGGACTCACCAAACCCCACAAAAAACTCAACCCCACTGCCATCGAGGGTTCTGAACCACAGTGAGCCCACAGGACAAAGCAGAGCTACCGCTGAGGGTTCCCAAGGCCATGTTCTTCAGGGACGCTGACTACATCTTTCTCCCACAGAGCAGCTGGGAGGTTCCAGTCAGCAGTTGAGTGCTTAAACCAGTGCACCTGCAGGGCGTCTCGTCACTGCCAGTTAGTTCATTTTCAAAACTTCTTAGTCTGAATATGTATTTTAAGTTTCTCAGTCAAAGATCCAAAACCAGATGGCTTTACAGCAAGGGTCAGCATACTGTGACCGGCAAGACACCACCAGTTTTAGTTCAGTAACACCTATTTATGAGCTTTCATCTTTGATGGCATGCGAGGGACAATGGTAGAAGTGACCATAGTGGCAGCGACCACAGGATGCTCACAGTCTAAAATACTATCTGGTCTTAACCCCAGACACTGGAAAAAGGGGGTAAAAAAGGTCCAGTTAGACATGAAAATAAACCAAAAAGGATTTCCCTCCCATAAACAGCACAAGTATCGGTACAAAATAACAGTCGACTATGCAGTATCTGTTGTTCTTTTTAGTTAATCAGTCTACTAAATTAGAGGTCTGGTGGTCTGGTGGGAAGGAATTAAGTTGCCGAGGCACAAACACACAGTTCCAATTCACCAGCTGCTCCACAGGAGAAAGATGGGCAATCTCTTCCCATGTCAATCAGTGCATTTGAAAACAACTAAATAAAAGAGCTAAACAGTTACATTCATGCAACTTTTAAAGGTGACGCAATAAATATCAAGGCTAAGCTTCCTAGTAGGATGTCAAGGGGCTTGAAAACATGCAAGAAACACTTCTAAGTCCTTCTGTTGTCCAGTTGATAGCAACTCTTACTGACGGCACAGGACACAGAAGAACTGCCCACAGGGTGCCAAGATGGTAAATCTTTACAAGAGCAGATGGCCACATCTTCCTCCCAAGGTAGACGCAAATCACCTACATCGCTCCAACCACTGTGCCACCAGCACTTCTTGCTATGTGTTGTGCTTCCTGTGATCCATAGTGACTCTATGTACAGCAGCTCTGAACCCTGCCCTGTCTCGAGCCAGTCTCACTGACTCGGACACACGAACCCTCACTGCCCCGGTCACTGTGTCAATCCATCTCATGCAGCGCCTTTCTTTCTTGTGCTGTCCCTCCACCCTTCCAAGCATGATGTCAACACTAGAAACATATATTTGGGTTAAGACAAATGGCAAGTCAGGGTCAGGGTGGGTCCAAAGAGAAGCGCAGGTACAGCACTGTTGACTCAAAACCAGCTCAGAGTAGACCCTCCAGTGGATTTCTGAGGAGGAATGGCCTTTCTTTCTGCCACGGAACCACTGGCAGATTTGAACGACTCGAGAGAGACTCTTGGCCTTTGGGTTAGCAGCACACAACTCAAGGACTGTGCCACCAGAGGTCCTTGTGGACAACCACCATCATTCAGGCAGTATTAAAATATTCACCAACTAAAATGTTAAAGAAAAAAAAAAATCTAAGCACTCAGCACCTGGAAAATTACAAAAAAGAGAGAGAAAGAAAAACACCCTGATGTGACTTTGCAACATGGTAAGTGGCAGAGCCAGCATTTCCCCAAGGGGAGTCCAGCTCTCCACTGCCCGTTAAACGAGTGTGGAGGTGGATCGTTAGGGAAAACCTGTTTTTCCATTCTTGGCTGGAGACAGGTAAGTCACAGGCAGGTTTACGAACTGGCCGATCAGCTTTCCTCGGCTTTCTGGGCCTCAGCACTGCTGACTTTTGAGCTGGTTAACTGGAGCTGCCGAGGCTGCCCTGAGCACCTGAGGGTGTGGAGAAGCATCCCCACTAGACGCCAGCAGCTCCTCCCAGCTGTGACAACCACAAATGTCTCCAGACTGTGCTCAACGGTCCCTGGGGGCAAAACTACCACAATTAAAAACCTGAGACTGGGCTGAAATGGAACATTTAGGAGAACACAGGCAATGAGAGCTGGAAAGATGACACCTAGGAAACACTGTAAGAGTTAATGTGGAAGTATGTGCCCCCAAAACTGAACCGTGTAGATCCTATGTTACAAGGACTGTTAGTCCAGGAATAGATCCCACAAGGATATGTATGTAGACAAAATCAGAGGGAAGAGAGGTTACCATAACAACCAAGACCACAAACCAACTGCACATCTATAAAAAAGCAAACCAATGCGGGGCCATGAGGTCAGGGCAGTCCCGCCTCCCAGTGACCCTGGAGGACAGAGAACTGCCCATTGTTTCCAAGGCTGTAAATTTTTATGGAAGCCGCTGGCCTCATCTTTCGCCCCCAGAGGGTGGTGGGTTTGAATTGTTCAGCCATCAAATTCTTGAACCACCATGTTAAAAGGCTACAGCATGAGTGAAACACTAGTGCATCTACCTAATGGAGTATAGAGGTAGATGTACTGTACCTGCCTAGGTAAGAGGCCCAGGACACAAAAGGAAACAAAAGAACAGAACAGTGTGCAGAACGAGTCCCCACTTTTATAAAACACATCATATAAACAAGAAGCACCCAGAGATTTTCCTTCCAAGTTGAGGATGCCTTGTAAGCATTCTGTGACTTGAGCAGCTTTATCCCAGATTAATGAATAGCTGTACAAAAACATTTTTATTCTGCTTACATTAGCTCATTATGTTAGGGGGATTCCTTAACAGAGAGGAGTGGGCATCAGATGCCTTCAAATTGTGCTTGTTTTGAGGCACATATATAAAAAATGGACCAATACAGAGAATATTAGCCTGGCCCCTGTGTAAGGATGATATGCAAATTCATGAAGTGTTCCATATTTTTATTATCTTAAACCAATGTACCATGAGAAATACCATTTGAGCCAGCTAAATACGAACACTCATGTTTATTGCTGCATTATTCACAACAGCAAAAGGATGGAAGCAACTATTGTGATCATCAACACACAAATGGATCCAGAAACCATGGTGCGTCCGCACCACGGGAGTGCTATGCAGCACTGAAAAATAATGACGAACTCATGAACAACAAATCATGGATGAATCCAGAGGACATTGAGGGAAATAAGCCAGTCATAAACTGGCAAATACTGAGTCAAAACCAAAAATACAAAAAAACCACCCAAAAAAAACCCAAAACAAATAACCTTCATAAAGTTTCCTTATGGAGATATCAATCTAGTATAGTTATAGGATGGGAGGAATAGGTAATTAACGGGTAGGTAACAAATTCCTTATTGGAACAGGTGAAGTGAAGGACGATGTGGAACAAAAGGATGATCAGACATTGTGTCTAACCATGTAATTAACCATATGGAAGAAAATATACACTGCTGACTGATTAGGGGGTGGGGGGAGCCAAGGAAAGGTTTGCATGCAGAGAATCCACCTGGGAAGGTTAACAGGGATGAGAGGGGAGGGAGAGACGAGCAAAAATTCATACACAGGGAGGTGAAGAGAATGGCCAGGTACAATGGGCATTTGAGGAAACATTTTAATTAAATGAATTCAGCAATTGTAATAAAAGATGTAAAAATTAGATGACTGAATGAAATATTTGAAAAATTCCATAGGATAAGATAGCAAAGAGTTATATAGGACAGAAAAAAACGGTAATGTGTGTGTATCACATAGGAAGAAAAAAGCATCCCTCAAGTGATGCTTAACACTGTCAGTCACTTTGACAGATCAAGTTCTTGGTTGGTTTTGAGTCAAACAATTTCCATATTCTGAAGATACGTGTTTGGTTTTCAATTCTAGTTTGGGCGGAAGTTCACAGAGTATATTTGTTTTCCATCCAACAATGTATACACTGTTTGGTGACACCGGTGGCAATCCCCTGGGTGACGAGGAGTGAGGGAAGCACAGTCTTCTTTGCTCTTTCTTCTCTAGGTTCCCTTTTTTCCTTTGTCCTTCTTTCCTGTCTTCTGGGCTTTGTTTTTTAGGCAAATGCTGCCCTTTTGGTTTTGTATGGTTGAAGCTCAATGATGCTTTCTTGGGAAGATCAATGTTCTTAATGAAAGGACCAGGGATGCCCCTATCTAGAGATCAATGTTTATTAATATTTAAGGGACCTGAGGGGCTCGGGCACCCCTGATCTTCTGAAAGTCATCCGAGAACTGCAAAACCATTGGGGAAAATGGTCTTCTGCTGAACAAGATGATCTTTTGAACAATTCTGTAATACTGTTGAAGAGAATCTATTTTGTCTGCTGTTTGGCCGTTTCTGTAAAAGCAGGTTTAAAATCACAGAACAGAATGTGTAAAGTGATTAAATCATAATGATCAAGCTTAAATGAAATACATACAAACGCACACTAACCACATAAATGCTGCCCTTCCCATCCGTGGAAGAAGCCAGTCAATACTTGTCCCAGTCAATACTGCCAGCATGGTCAGCATTCAAGTCCTCTAGCTCTTCAAAACCTTTCGGCTGCTGATAGGGTGGTATTAGTTAAGTTCAGAATTCTCTATATAGGTATCGGTTATAAAACTATAGTTTTCTCCAGCCTGTGGGACTGGTTGCTTGACCTTGGAGTTCTTAGTGTCTGTGATCTGTCAATCAGAAGAGGAGATGCATCTCCTAGATTAGCTGTGATCTCTTTGAAGCTGTTCTCCCCAATCATATGTAAATTGTAACTTAATCTGCCTGTTTGCCTGGAAAGGAAGCATCTGGGTGTGAATGATTTTCTTTCAGATATAGAAATTCTTTAATTTTACTAACAAAAGTTTATTGTTAAGTAAGTTGATGTCTCAGCATTCTATAAAAGCCCATGACCACTCCCAGATGGGGAGACAGTCTTGGAGGTGACTGTCTCCCAGATCTGTGTAATAAAGTGCACTTATTGACACTGCAATCCGTTTGTCTTATTGGCGAGTGACTACGGAAAGAACCCCTTGTGTTCTGTAACACCACCACTGGCCTTCTGCTGC